TAGACAGACAGACAGACAGACAGACAGTCTTGGTTGGTAGATACAGTAGATAAACAGACAGAGACAGACAGACAGACATACTTGGTAGGTAGGTACAGTAGGTAGACAGAGAGACAGACATTTGTATATGTATATATAAATATATATTTGAATTAAAACTTGTTTTTGAACTTTAGGGTTCCTCTCCTGCAGAGATCGTTCAGGCTTGTCTAGGTCCCACAGCAACAGGTGATGTGTCTGGTGCCAAGTTTCACTCTGCTCTTCAAGAGATCTACGTCCAGAACGGGCTGGTAGACCGAGACTTTGTCGGCAGGTGGTGTACAAAACGAATTTAAAGAACATCTTAAAAGGCAATACCGGATTTACCGTTTACATGTAGAAAACTTCCCTCAGTGCTCCGCATCACTTCGACTCTGAAGCCTTCTTGGAGGGCCGCGGCCTCATCATGGAGGGCATGTTGGCGATTAAGGCTAACGTTCGAGAGGAGAACTTCAAGGCTGCCAGAGAAACACTGGGCAGAGTCCTTCATACGTTACAGGTGAGGAGGATGGAATAAGACAATCAAATGCAAAAATCCAAAGAAAAATAAGAGACAAATTGCCTTAGTTATAAAGAACAGTCAAGGAAATATACATTTTTGGCACATCTAATTTACATATTATTTTACACCATTTCTTCTATTTAGTTTTCATTTTATATGCTTTTTATATGATTTTCTATTGTTGTCTGTACCTCATCTATGTTATTTGTTTAAAACAGGTCTCTCTTGTAAATGAGACTAACGTGTAGAAATAAAAGTTGAATGAAAAAAAAATCTAAGATAAAACATTTGTTGTGCAACAACCAAATCAATAAGAAATCCAGTTGCTGTTTTAAAACTACTGGTATTTTCCATGTCCTAGATTCTTTGAAACATTCAATTCAGTTTATTTGTTCCAACTCTAAATATCTTGTATCTATTTTTAATATAGACCCTTTAGTGCTTTATAAACAGGGAATATGATTTAAAAACCTATCAAGTGACCTGAAGGAGTTGTGCAGATAATTGATGACACTCATTTTACATGTTCCCTTTCTTTATCAGGACTTCTACAGTCACAGTAACTGGGCGGAGCTGGGATACACAGAGCCATATATCAACCTCATACGACCAGACCTCCCTCTGGAAAATCTTGCAGGTCAGTGTGTCTGAACACTGGGAGGATGACGATGATCTGTGGGTTGGGTAAACGTGCAATAAATATGACGATATGTGTAATTCTATCTTGGATCATATCTGATCAATAAGAAGATTATTTTTACTTTTGCTCGGTAACTCTTAAATACAATCTGCATAACTAATTATTGTAAGGCATTTCTTTGTTCAACCAGGAGTTGATAGAAAAGAAAAACAAAATCATATCGAATTTGTCGTTCTTCCCGTGCAGATGTGAACACGCCCACCTGCAGTGACTGTGCCAGTGGAACATGCCCGAATCAGATCCTGCCCAACATCCTGAAGGAGAAGAAGCTCACATCAGGCTACATGGGAATCTTCTCTTCTGCAAAACCTCAAGGTTTAGCATCTCATACCTTTAATCCAACTGAAAAATCTCATTCATCAGAAAGACAAAATACGTAAAACATTTCACCACAAAGTATGCAGATACACACTGAATGAAATGCTATTCTCTGTACATTTAAAAGATGCTGTTCTCCAGGAATAATCTGTCTTCTATCAGGTTGGGAAGCAACCTCAGTAAACATTTACTTAATTTGTTATATGGCACATTTAGAATTTCCTGTTTAGCCATTTGTTTTGGTAGTCATGAGGGTCTCAAATAATAAATTACTGTATTTAAACTTTTTTCTTACATTTAGTCTAGTAGGCTTTAAATAGAGACTATTTAAATCGTTGTCCCAAAAATTATAAGCAAACTTACATTAATTTGTATCATACCATTTGCCTTTCAGAGAAAAAAGAAAAAATGTTAGACTTTAAGTTGAATTGATCACTTATTTTTCTTTTAATTTATTATATAACATTAACCCATTAGGACAAACTGAATGAATAATACAATTAACAATGATTTTTTTTTTTTATATATTGATGCATCATTTAACTTGTTAAAAATAATTTATTGTTTCAATACTATTTTACAAACCTGCATGTAACACTTATAAAATCATTATTTTATTGTACCAGACTGAAGTCTTGAGTAGATTAACGCTGTTTGATCATCCAGCCCCATTTGTCCTCCCCCTCTTGTTCTGTGGCAGGTAAGTGCAGCCATGGAGGTGCAGCTGATCTTACCAGCACCGCCGCTCCTCGAGGAGGCATCAGTAAAGACGAGCGTCGCTCAGACAACGTGGCCCATCATGAAGCTGCTGTAAAAACAGCCACAGCTGCCAGCCTCCAGCTGCTGGAGGACATCCGCTCAGCTGCAGGAGACCAGAACTTTCTAAGGTAACCGAGATGTTTAAAAAAAACATGACTTTATGCAACGCTGACAGGAAATATGTATGAAGTTGTAGTTTGTAAGGAAAAACAATGTATTTTTTCTCACAGGATGATGGGGATTGCTCGCTCATCTGTGGTGTGCTTTGTGATTGACACCACGGGCAGCATGTCAGACGACATCGAAGAAGCTAGATCAGTTGTATATGAAATCATTGACAGCAAAAAGGGAACACAGGACGAGCCATCCGAGTATATCCTGGTGCCTTTCAACGACCCAGGTATGAACGATTGTGCTTTAGAAGGAAACATTGCTGCTGGCAGTGCTTCATGTTATAGATGCTGCAATGGTTTTCCATTTTGTTCAAAATACTTTTGAGTCACAGGTTAGTATTGTTGCTTAGCTTCTTTTTGTGACCAATTGAAGATTTTGGACCAATGATCAGGACAACTGACCCTGGAAAAATGAAAACCGAAATCTCTAAGCTCAAAGCAAGTGGTGGTGGGGATATCCCAGAGATGTGCTTGTCAGGACTTCAGGTACTACAATGGGCTCTGACATTTTCATTCATAAAGACAAAACCTGGGCAGTATTTTTCTAAGATGGTAAATCTATGGTTCCTGACTCTGAAACTTTATTTTCCCAGCTGGCTCTTACTGGAGCCCCTTCCTCATCCCACATCTATGTTTTCACTGATGCTATAGCTAAAGACATCGCCTTGAAGGACACTATCGTCGCTCTCATCAGGAGCACCAAGTCAACGGTAAATATGAATTAGCAATTAATGATGATGTTCACCCAGCCTAACTGGTGAAAAAGTTGAGCTCGTTATGACTTTCGCATACATTTATCATCATAGGTGTCATTTTTCATGACTGGGCCCAGCAAAAGGCGTCGTCGTTCTGTTTTTTCTGCTTCCTTTGGAGACTACCGTGACTTAGCTTTGGCATCTGGAGGCCAGGCCATCCAGGTGTCCAAGGCCCAGTTGCCTCAAGCGACAGATGTTATCCTTGACACATCAACTTCTGCCCTGGTAAGTTTGTTTTTTGCTTACCCTGCAAAATGTCTTCTAACAGACTTTAGGTAAACAATCTTATTTAAAGACCTGAAACATTAATCACTTATTTACCTCTTTCCATCTTTCCATCAGGTGACTGTTCTTCAGAGAGCAAGAAATGCTGGAAAAGAAGAAACTTTCCCCTTCATGTTAGACGAATCACTAAAAAACATCACAATCTACATCACAGGAACATCCATAACTTTTACACTTACCAACCCTAAAGGTAACTCACCATTCCCAACTCAGTGTTTGTCATTTGTGTTAGAAATATAACATTGACTAACTGTGCATGTTAAATATTTACAGGTGTGAGCCAGAATCAGAATGAGGCCAATGGCAAACTGGGTACTATCCAGACAGTGGGCAATCTCAGGAGAATCCGTCTCAACTCTGACAGACAGTCAGGAACATGGCAGATCAACATCAAATCAACCCAGCCATATACACTTAAAGTCACAGGTAATCTTGTTTACTGGACAATTACACAACATAATAACACCAAGTGTATGTGAGAAATGTTTAATTTAAACATATATACGTCGTTGAAACTGTTTATTTCTAGCTACTTTGCAGTTCATTGAGTTCTTGGTGAGGATCTAACAGGAAGTGCTTTTGTTTGTAGGTCAGAGCACAATTACCTTCATTTATGACTTTGTGGAAAAGTTCACAGGACCCCACCCAGGTTATGCAGTACTCAGTGGACGTCCACAAGCAGGTACACTGCCTTTCATAAAAAGATTTAGTTTCCTTACTACACCCACAATACTAGTTGTACCAAAGAAACTTTTATTGCTATATGATCATGTCTCCTGAGAAAGCATCTAATTATATATTGTATGTGTAAACCAAAAATACATAAACATCACTTGATTATTGAGCATGCATCAGGATAAACATCACTTCTTTTTTCATTAAACACCAGGACAGCCTGCCACCCTGATGCTTTCAGTAATTGGCAGAAAAGGTCCATCTTCAATAACTGTTAAAGAAATTGGCTTAGTCATTGTGTCCGGCTCTCAGAACATAACCAATGGCACAATGACTACTATGGGAAATGGAGACACCCTGGTCACCGTTGATGCAGTTCCTGAGGGGGAGTTTGTGGTTGTTCTGAAAGGAACAGACAAAGTGTCAAACAGTGAATTTCAGAGGCAGTCAACCACCCAGATGTCCGTCTCCAAAGTGAACATTCAGGTCTGTTGTTTCGTCATAGGAGCACTGAAACCTTTAGGAGTATAGAAATGTTACTGGGATTGTTCACTCATTAGTTTTCCTTTTTCTTTTCAGGCGGTGGTGGACAGCAGTGTTGAGCCAGGAAAAAACCTTCAGCTCCCCTTTAGTGTGATGACGCAGGGAGCTGGTGGTACATACACCATCAATGCCAGAAATGACAGAAACTTTGCCATGACATACCCTAACAGGTGACGTAAAGCTACAAAATGATTATATAATCTCATTGTGTAGGGGGTGGCTTTTGCCTAGTGGTCATCTTTAAGTCAATAGGTTGAGGGTTTGATCCTTACCCTGGAGTAATTGCTAAAATGATAAACTATATTTATACACTGCATTGCTCATTTTTGTTTTCTGTTGCTTGGGGCTAAGCTACAACATGTTGCCTTACAATACAGTGTTAGTCAACACAGGAAGTACCTGCTAATGGTGGTACTGTATCACACTGGGCTGTAACTAGTTGGCAAAAGGCTTTCATAAGGAAGTCTCCAGAAGGTCTGACCACCTTCAGTGTGTTTCAACTTCCTTACATGAGTTGCTGAGGTACCTGACAATCGAGTTTTGAATGTGTTTAAAAATGTGTCTATTTTTGGCTCCTCAAAATTGTCCCAGACCTTTGGTGAATGTCTCACCCACCTGAATTTGTAGTGGACATTTTTTACCCATCACCAAAGCGCCAATGCTGTTTTTTGGACACGTGCATAAGCTCTCCCAACAAAAAAACAAATATCCAGGTCTAAAGATGACGCTTATGACAAATAATTAATGAAAAACTGGTCCAAATCTGATTACATTAATTTCAAAAGTGTACATTAGTAGTTTAAACCCTAAATGTGGGTACATACCAATGTGGAAAGAAAGCAAGCCAGTGTGAGTATGATGTGGGCAACAAAATAATGTGCATGGCCAAGAATACAGTTTTGCAAGTTGTGCACAAGAAGATGGGTCATAACTTTTTTTTAAACTGGACGTCCAAACGCTTGTCGCTGGGTCAAAAATATTCAGATTTCATTGAGACTGCAACGAAAAATGTCTTGATGCTCAATAATCCAGGTAGATGAATCCAACAAGTTGAGTCAGGGCCTCTGGATTAGAGTTGCATTCGGTCCCAAAAAATCCGACCTGACCCAGCCCCAGCCCGTAGCCATCACTTCCAAACCCCACCCGACCAGACAACTTAACAGTAATTACAGGTCCGAACCCGAAAAAGCCCCACTACATTTTTAATTAAGCTTTGACTGCTTATATAGTTATTAATGGTCGGCGGACACACACAGCTGAGTAAAGTGGGCAGAAGATCGGAGCTGAGGGGGTGTTTGTCCTTTCATGGTCGTTAAAGCGCATTAAATCCGTTTCTGCCTGCATTCTGCATTATTCAAACGCATACCCTGCTCTGACATGTCAGATATTTTGGGATCTCAGTTGTTTGGGTCATCGGCCGCGCTCATCCGCTGAGTGCAGCTGAAGCTTTTTGAAATTACACCACCACCTTCTAAAGGAAAGAACAAAGATGTCTCGTTTGTTTGAATGTCTTTCTTTACTTTAACTGAACTTTTTTTTAACCCCTTTCAATGCCGGTCAGTGCGTGGTCAAATGGCCACTTGCGGCAGGTGATGACTGTATGGCAAGCCATGTTGCCATATAATTGGATTGTCAATTGCACTCGTCTGCTGACGTAATAAAAAGCCTGACGCTGGCCCAGCCCGCACATTAAGCACATTATTATGACCCGGCCCTAATCCGAGTCGGGCCTGGCTGGGCTCCGAGTTTGGGTTAGAAATGACAACTCTACTCTGGATGGGTTTTCTTTATTGAAACGTTTCATCTTTTATCCAAAAGTCTTCTTCAGTCTGAGAAGCTGCAACAAACTCAGTTTTATAAACAGCACCTTCTCATAGTGGATCAACCATTTTGCTGCTGACAGCCAAAACTAGTTTTTCACATGCAAAAGGAGGACCATCAGCCTAAGGATTGATCATTAGTGCCCCAATGGCCACAAACATGGCCGTCATCAGCAAACTGGTTGATCCACTCCTCACACTGAAGAAGTCTTTTGGACAAAAGACAAAACATTTCAACAAAGAAAAATATGTCCAGAGGACCTGTAAGATGCAATGAAGAATGCATCTATTTTCTTGCAATTTTGAGTCACCAACTAGTCTCCAACAGTCACACTCATTTGCAAGTTCCCAAAGCATGTAGGTGTAATCCTAAACGTGTGGATTCTCTTCTCTTGACAGGCTCACATTGACAACTGGACAGTATGCTAATGCTACACTGGTTATTACGGCACCCGCCAACACCGTATCAGGCACCGATGTCACTCTGACTATTGAAGCCAAGTCGTCCACAGGTGCCGACTCAAACTACGTTGTTCTGAGGTTGTCTGTGGTCACCAAGGTAAGCAGTTGTTTATTTTCATGTAGTTGGGAACAATAAAATTATACACTACTGTTACTGTGACTTCCTAAGGAAGTTAGAGACTATACTGATTTCCTTGATACGTTTCCAAAATGTGCTGCTTAATGTTTCAAGTAGTATGTAAGGCATTTAAATGTAAACCTTTGGTATTTAAATGTAAAAAATGTAACAGGGCCCTTAAAATGTTTAGTTCCATCATGTACAGTAGACCATTTCTTAACCAAGACCGTGGGAAATAGGGGTAAGGTGCTGTAGCTCCCCCTAATGGAGGCCAGTGGAATGAATAAAAACATTTTCATTAATGTTTAAATTCCAGTAGTTTTATTATTATTAAACTTTGTAAATATGGTATAAACTCAACACACGTTGGCATATTAGCATTATTATGTAATGATTGTAATTTTATCGTGTTTGTCCAAAATACATACATTATGTTTTTAATATGCAGATTTAGAACAGACAACATGCACTACCTGTGTGCATTTCACCAAATATATTTGCCATGACATTCTGAATATGTCTGGTAAAAGTGCTTTAATCTGCTAACCACATTTTGATGTCCATCAAGCAAACAGTTAAGTTTCACTATATGTTTGCCTGAAATACTTAAGGATTTGACGTAAAAGTATATATTTTTTACAAGCTAAAACTTTTCTAAGGGATTTGGACAATTCTGTAAAGTGTTGAGAAATAATCTTAGACCCATTAGTCGAGTTTTTTGGTATAAATTTTTTAGAAAATGTTGAACAAAATCGAAGCTGAAGCCATTGTGTTGTCAAAGTACAAGTAAAACAGTTTTAGTAATGCTTACCGAGTATTTTGTTTGTTGTGAAATCCAGATTAAAATACTAAATTTATCAAATAAAGTAAGTTTTGAAGATACTTCTTGATCAGTGTAGTAGTAATAGGGCAGATCCCAGTTTGGGTTTCTGAAATTGTGCTGATCACCTTCTTAAAAAACACGAACAAGGAAAATAAATATAAGAATTTTAAAATTTCCCTACAATAAAGGAGCTAATGGAGTAATCAGCTATTAAAATCAAATGTTTGTAATGTATCAAGGGGGCCTGAAAGTGGTCGTGCATTCTCAGAACAAAGGATGACGGAGGGCCAAATGTGTGGAATCAGGCAAAACTGAAAGCTGATGGTTGAGATTATCCAAAGATTATGATCTACTTGTTCAAATGCACATAATCAGATTTGGAGAACATAATACTAAAGGGCCACTGAGAACTGGTGATGATAGTATCAAAGCACTTTGAAAATCACTTTGTTTTCACTTTGTTTTATTAATTACAAAGACAGAAAATCTTCCCTGTTGTACCTAACCACATACAAATTGTTTACATGAATCATTCTGATCTAATCGCCATTTAAAAAAAAAATAATACCGGTACTCTCACAAATCCCTTTCTTGTCCTTTTATCCAGATCACAGATTTTTATCAGCCGCAGTGTGAAGTGTATGGAGTACTGGCAGATGACTGCCCTAAAGATTTGTCCCAGTGTGGACCCTTCCACTGGGAGCTCTCGGCTAACCTGACAGATGGAAATGGCACCGGGATAGAGAGCATTGCTCTACGTCAGGGCAACGGGACCCTGACGCACTCCTCACTGCAGGCTCCCATCATCCAAGCTCAATACAACGCCTCCTGCTGCTCACAGATTGTTGAGTTTATAGCTGTGGATAAAGTTGGAAATGTGGGCAAATGCTATCATTCAATTGCTCCTACAGGAGGGTCTCCGGTTCTAAGCCTGTCACTGCCGCTGTGGTTCTGCCTGCTGCTCTCAGCCTTCACAGGAAGGCCTTGAAGTCTGGTTATAGTAAATAAGTCTAGTCTTTGTCTCCATGTGAAACTAACTGAAGTACTTTAAGGTGAGCAGTGTTATAGGTTTCTCTTTAAATAAAATGTGTAACTTTAATTATGCTTCTTGTTCATTTTGTATTGCTGTAAAAAGCATGAAGGAAAAATGACAGAGAAAATGGATAATGCTTTAGTTTGTTTCTAATAAACTGATAACTGATCAGCTTGTATGTTCTTTGTTAGGTGCGTGACAATCAGGTAAAAATTAGATTGAAGTAGTGACCGATTCCCATAAAAACACACTTAGTTATACTTTGCATATTATTTAGACTAATGAATATGTAAAGTTAGTGTTGCAACATATTTATATACAACAAACATTTACTTGAGTGCCCTAATAATATAAATACACAAGTTGGTGTTATCACTTCAGCCACTGGTCTTTCAGACTAGCATGCAAATAATTGCGTCCTGTGAAAAAGTGTTTTTGGAAATCTCTTGCAAGTATTTTGAAAGGATATTTACAATACATGTGGCTTGTGTTCATACATAATCTACATGTATTAATAAAGGTTGAACTGAATTTTAATTCCTTAAATAAAACTACACACACTGTTTACGGGGGTCCCTCGCTACTTTGCGGTTTAACTTTCGCAGACTCGCTCTTTTGCGGTTTTTCAAAGATTGGACATGACACACAATTTGCTGATTGATGGATGAGTTGCACGAACAGCAAGGATTGTTTATTTAAAATTAATTCTTTTAAATGATTTAGCACTGCTGCACCTGCGTGCAGCCCACAGGTGCGGGGAGAACCTCCCTCCTGCAGCATGTCATGATCTACACTCTCTGCCACCTGCCAGCGATTGCAGTGGAGAAGTGGGCATGGCAGAGAGCGGCAGATGGCAGAGATCATAACATGCTGTGCTCTTTTAGAGCGTCTAGAAACATTGTTAAGAATATTGCAAGAGTGTGGAAATGGTTTCAAACACCTTAATATACAGGTGCTGGTCATAAAATTAGAATATCATGAAAAAGTTTATTTATTTCGATAATTCCATTCAAAAAGTGAAACTTAAATATTATATTCATTCATTACACTGACTGATATATTTCAATTTTTTATTTATTTTAATGTTGATGATTATAATCGACAACTAATGAAAACCCCAAAATCAGTATTTCAGTATCAGTTTTGTTGTGTGTTTCCTTGACTGATGAAGCCTTCCGGATCGAAGGCGAAACGTTTCAGCACAAAAAAAGAAACCGTCCAGATGACCTGGCTGAAAATTGCTGGATTGTATACCTGGATTATTGAGCATGGACTTTTTTGTACATGGTAGAGGTTCACAATGTTAGAAAAAGTTTTCTGTATTATTTTGGAAAAATTATATAAATTGTGATAAACCAACATTACTTTCTTTCTCTTATTGAAACCAGATCTCTTTTCTCTCCCATCAACAGTAGTACATTAGAATTATCAAAAATATTAATATATCATATATAACATACCATATATAACATCACATAAAAGATCTGAAACTCTCAACCTTGACCTCTCTAAGTGGCTTTAAACATCTGTTAAGCTCCTGGCACAAACCAATGCAGACATGTTCCGGTTTTTAGTTTTTTTACATCGCCTTTTTTTCTTCTTTCTTTCTTTTCCCTGCTTTTCCTTTTGTTTGCCATTTTGTTTTATAAAAAAAAAAAAAGAAGAAAGAAAATTAAATTTGTATGACTTTGTGACTGTCTATTGTTGTCATCGTTATTCACTGCTGTCATCACTCTGTTAAGAAATCAGGTCTCTCTTGTAAATGAGTCCCCGAAGCTCAATGGGATTAACCTGTCTAAATAAAGGTTGAATGAATATGAAGCATGAATGCACAATATAGAAAAAGTTCTGATTCATTGCATGCCTTAGCTGAGCTCATAGAAAACATTTTAATAGAATGTGCAGCCTTAGTTCTAACTTCACAAATGACACTTCTTTCTGAAGTTGCAATGGTAACTTTCTTGTGCCAGTGCATGCTCTAAATGCGGTTAAGGTGGTTATGTACCTTAAAAAAATAATAAAAAAGTTAAATCCTTACATACAGTTTCTTTTTATACGTAATATTTTTTGTCTATTTTGGGGTGTAACCCTGAGTACCGGTACATAATTTTGTTCTAATTCATGTACCACATGTGAATGACAAAGGAACTTGAATGCATTTGGCCTTTCTGCAATGGAAAACCCAAAGTTTTGTTGTCGAGGGTAATTTCACTCAAGAATTCATAAACTTACACCCGTTACCAATCCTGACACTGACACATAAACTAAAACCTAGTGTTGTAGTACTCAAGACTGGCCTTGGTCTTGAGACCGGTCTCAAGACCACTTTTTGATGGTCTTGGTCTTATCTCGGACTAGACCACATTTGGTCTCGCATGCAGTTCTGTACCAACAGAACAATACAAACAACAGAACGTAATATTGCAACCATGGGTGACAGTAAGCCAGTAATACATAAGATTCTGCGCTGGTACGCAGTACCTGTAAGAGAGGGGAACGGCTCAACTGTAAAGCCTCATTCAGAACCAGTCATGGCTGCACTTTGGGTCAGATTAGATTCACTACAAATTAATAACTTAATAGCTTTTTTTCTCATTTCAAATAGTTTCTGAATTTTTCGTGCTATGCTGGAGCCTCAATTCTGAACCGCAGCCAAGTTTCATTCAACCTTTATTCAGACAGGTTAATCCCAAGTTAGTTAGTTGCAAGTTAGTTTTACGTTGGACATTCAAGCTCCGTGGCTTCAGCGGTGCGTTCCTCTCATTCGATCTGAAGCAGGCAGTCCGATTTCAGTCAGCTGCGCTCAGTCTGCCTCTCCTCCGAGGCGTAATGTGTGGAGGACCAGTGACAGGGGGCTTCAGAATAAGGGGCACCCCCCACTTAAAATATGTGATCCTCTTCTGTTAAATATTTTGTTTTGTAATTAAAACCCACTATGTATTACAGTATTCAAGTTAGGCTGCAGAGTTATAGGCACAGAGAAAATTAATATTTTGGCTGAGGGGGAATTGAGTTGGGGTGTAGTTAATCCAAACAAGCACTAGGAGCAGCCCCCTGGTCCTAAGAATCTGTGTTGGAAATGTATGCAGCTCAGTAGAACACCTGCAGTCACTAGTGTGAAGCACGTCGGACTTATCTGTGCCTGTTTGTATTTTCAGAGAAACGGAAAGTAAAAAGATTATTTGCAACCAAATGCACGCCTCGACATCTTCATTGTTGGGAGTGTGCAACAAATGGTTTGCTTAGGGACCGTCAACAAATTACTGAACCAAACACTCTTCAGAAACAAAAATTAATATATTTTACATAATTTGACCCACTGACACAAAACTAACTATTCTAATAGGCCTGACACACAAGGCACGATCGTTTACTTCTCATGTTAAAGCATTTTCTAGTTGCTGAGCGAAAACCATTTTTCAACAAATTATATAAAATTGGAAAATGATTTAAAATGGTAGAAAAAATGAGTGCGCCTCGTCTGTCAGGAATAGTAGTTTAACATAAGTTTTGTCTTTGTGGGGTCACATGAAAATTGTGCAAAAACCACTGAATGATGTCCGATTTATTGTGTAGCTTTAAAAATGTATACAAGTTGATACATTCATTCAAAAGCTGTTGCAGTATGCAACTTTAAATAAAAAATATTTTTTTTAAATAAAAGTTTTTTTTTTTTTTTTTTTACATATTTGTTAAAAATGTTACGTTGTCACAGTATAGTATAAGACCGATAATCTGTGAAAAGATGGAGCTCCAAGACTTGAGGTCTTGGTCTTGACTTGGTCTCTCACTCCCTCGGTCTTGGTCTCTGACCCCAAAAGTCTTGGTCTTGTCTCGGTCTCAACCACAACACTGCTAAAACCTTTTGGAAGTGACATTTTAAACAATTGTTTAATTTTCCTCTTTCGGCTGCTCCCTTCTTCAGGGGTCGCCACAACAAACCGTCGCACGAAGACTTGGCAATTATTTTTACACCGGATGCCCTTCCTGATGCAACCACAGACCACTGAGATATCACAGCCCTCTGTGTGGGGCAGAACTGCCATCTAAGGCACCCGGGAGAGCAGATGGTGGGGGTTAAGGGCCTTGCTCAAGGGCCCAGATTGGGCCAAACGAGGGTGGAGGCAAGTGTGGGTGTTTCACTTTTCCACACACATTGTGATGTTGTACCAGGAGTTGAGCCGGCGACCTTCCGATCACAGATCTACCTTCTCCAACCTCTGCGCTACCACTCCCATTATGTGCTTTATAAAGTACAGTTTAAACCACGACACTCAACTTTTAAGTATGAACACCATAAATCAAGTTTACAGACTTCACCATCATAACACAAACGTCCACAAAAAAGAACACTCGGTAAAACAGCAGCAGCATTTTTTTTGAAAATTTTATTAGTTTTCTGCAAACAAAATATACATCTGGGTTTGACATTTCAAATCACACTAACATACAATGACTAAAGCTTTAGAACAGGTCTGTGTTTACGTCGTACATTCCCATTAGTAATTCATGAAAACTTGAGGAAAACATGGATTTAACAAAAAAAACTAATGACTTTTTGTAACGTAACATTGTTATAAACGCGAGAAATACTTTCACCTTCAACAAAATCTTTATCTGTTCATTTTTTTCCTATTCAAAGAGTTAAAGCAGATGTAAGTGCTTATTTACCTGTAAAACAGCTTTATGTGAAAAAGAATAAAATCACAAAGATAAATTCTGTGCCAATAAATTGTTCAACAGCAGGTTTGTAAAAAAAAAAAAAAAAAAAATTCACATTTTGTCCGACATGGATCTATTTTTAAAAGTTGAAGGTGATCCATATTTACAAAAGTCGTAAAATTAAGTAACTCAATCGTTGGTACAAAAGCAAAACAAAGTAATAAAAGAAATTACACGATGCACCTTATTTTCATAAACAATTAAAATGATAAAAATAAAATACTATAATATTAATTAAAATATATTTACAATTCAAAGTCATACTGTAAACCATGTTAAGACTGTTTCTACAATCAGATGTTGTGAAAAGAAAATCAACGTGTTTATATATTTAGGAATAAGTCAATGAATACAGTAGTCCCTCGCTACTTCGCGGCTCATTTTTCGCGGACTCCCTGTATCGCGGTTTTTCAAAATACGATTGGACATGACACACAAATGGCTGATTGATGGATGAGCTGCAAGATCGGCATTTTTATTTTAAATGATTTTAAAATTATTTAGCACCTGCTGCACCTGTGTGCAGCCCATACTGCAGGAGAAACTTCCTCTTGCAGCTCCTCCTCCTTCGATCTCTGTTCTGCAGCAGAGAAGTGGGCGTGGCCGAGAGCACAGAGAGCAGCCGTGGCTGAGAGTGTGGGAAGGGTTTAAGACGCCATATATATATATATATATATGTATATATATTTATATATATATTTATATATATATATATATAAATACTAATATAAACTACTACTTACTACTTGTACTACTATTCCTATTTCACGGTTTTTCACTTATCAGGGGCTTCAGGGTACGGATCCACTACGATAAAGGAGGGACTACTGTATTTGGAAATATATTTCTGACAACATTCTGGATGACTTGTCATAAAAAAAAAATTTTTTTTAATTGAATAAAAGAAGTCTGATAGCTCCAACATGCAGCTACTGGCACTTTAATTATCTTGAATGTGTACAAAAAGGTTTTCAGCTTACCTTAAACCTTTAACTTTTTCGACATGCTGTATATCTACAAAAAGGATTTAAACATGAATTTTGTAAAACCTTGCACATGCTGCAAAATCACTTATTCAATTAAGGAAAGAAAAAAAAAAAAACGTCTAGGAATAATTTGACTCCTTTCTTTAAAAAAAAAAAATACCTATACAATTTTTTTTTCACATATCCATGTCAATATCTTTGAAGAAAAAATTTTTTTTGGGGTGGTGGGGGGTGGTGGACACAAAACACAAACCAAAAACAACACCACAAATACCTAATTATTTTTAAGTTGCAACTCCTTGGACTCACTTTGTAAATCTCTTAACAAAAAGCACTTTAAGAATCAATTACAACGCAAAAAATCGTATAATTCTACATAAAATCTGAAGAGCTATACATACAAACTGTACATGTCCTATACAAACTGAGGTTGTCAGTAGAGGTAAAAAGTATTCTTAGCACATGAAGAAGATTCCATATTATTTATCACAATATATAACCCTACAACTCTCTCTCTCTTTTGGCTGCTTTAAACATTCTGTTTTCAGCTTCCTGTTTTTGTCAGCACCCTTTCAGTTCAGCACAGCATTTTGCTGGATGTCCTGTGTTTCTACGACACTGTGTACATTTCGAATATGCTTTTTCAGATGGCCAGTCTGAGTGTACCTCTTAGGGCAGAGTGAGCAGGAAAAAGGCTTCTCTCCTGTGTGAGTAATTGCATGCCTTTTCATGTTATTGGAATCTAAAAATCCTTTCCCACAGTGTGGACACCAGTGCCGCTTCTCTCCATTATGCCACCGAAAGTGCACATTTAGTTCTACTCTCCTGGTGAATCTCCTTTCACAGATATGACACTGAAAGGGTTTCTCTCCGGTGTGGATTCGTATGTGAACATTCACATCTCGTTTAGTGAAGAACCTTTTGTTGCATAGCTGGCATATGAAAGGTTTTACCTTGCCATGGACCATCTGTACGTGTTTGGAGAGTGCAAAACGATAGACAAAGCCTTTCCCGCATTGTGGGCAGACATAGATCCTACCGTTGCGATGCACTCGATCATGACGTTTAAAAGTAATTGCGTCTGGGTAATGTTTCCCACAGAGTTTGCAAGTGAAAGGCCTGAGAAATTTGTGGAGACTGACGTGGCTCTCCAATGCATTGGTACTGTTGAAAACTCGTCCACATTCCCCACACTGATTTTTCAACAGATGCCTGCCAATGAAAGCCAATGGCTGTAAAGGAGATACAACTGGTGTTGGATTTAAAGGTATGACAGGAACTCTGTACTCTATCTTTAAACGTGGTGCCTTTATTATCTCTGTTGAAGGTACTTCATTGGGTGGTAGTGTGGGAGGGTACCATATTTCAGCTCTGCATATTTGCAAAACTCTACCTATTTCATTACGTATTCTAATTTTTTTTTTATATTTCCCCCTAGGTTTTCGTGGTTTAATTATTCTTCCTGAACGGTTTAATTTAGGACTTTGAAATTCTTGAAAAAATGCAAGTTTATCAGGTATCAGTTTTTGAGTGTTTTTCGCTATTTTAAAGATTTTGGCAAGTGGGGAACTAGTCTCACTCATGTTTTTTTCACTGTCGTCGTCCTTACTTATGCTACACCTCCCAGGACTGAAAGAACTGGATTCCCTTTTAATAGGCTTAGCACTTGGACTGACTTTAATAGAAGTGGAGCAACTAGGAAAGCCAGACACTTCAGGGCTTGTGCCATTTTCTTTTTTACTAGTCTTTTCAGGGCTGGCAACTGCTTTGGTTGATCTTATAGGACTCAAAGAACTGGATCTTGTATTTTGGGGGGCAGAGCCATTTCCAGTATTTTTAGAACTCTCACTACTTTTAGTACAACTGGGACTCCCATGACTGACAGTGGAGGATCCCTTATTTCTTGGACCTGCATCATTGTTTTCAAAAGTCGACCTTTGACTCTCAGAAGCTGATTTTGATGTTTTAGGGCTCAAACTGTTTCTTGCAGAAGTAGACTGCCTTGGACTCAATTCAGACTTTACTAAGTCTACATCAACTGTATTTGAGCTTTGGCTTTTAAAACTTTTAGCAGCAAAATTACTGGTAATATCAAGCCTGCTCAAACTGACAAATACCTTTCCACTAACAATTTTTGTTGGTGTAACATCTTTATAGTGTCCTGATATTCTAGAACTATAAGTAAGTGTATTTAGAGAAGTAATATTGTCAGACACATCTGGTTTTCCAGAGCCAACAGGTTCTTCAGTTGTGTTTTTAACATTTAAACTGTCACTATCCCACCGTGGTTTCTTTGGGGTTTTGTCACTGTTCTCAGTTGGCTTATCAGGTACTTGTTCTCTTGCATTTCTTCTAGCTTTCAACAGAGGTTTCAGGTGACTTCGCAGACGGGAAACAATGGAGCTTTTCTGATGGGCACTGGTTCTGGTCTTAATGGTATCCAAACCTTTGTCAGTGCAGGACTGTAATAAGATTAAAAAAAAAAAGATACATATTTACATCATAAGCACACATTAAATGCCACTTTTGTTAAGTCTGCATAAGCTGAAATGAGATTACCTCTTTATGTAATGTTGATACTGACAGTTGCTCCAGGAACTCTGATTGTGTCATCTTTAAACGAGGGTCAGATTGATCACTGAACCTAATGGAAGCTGGCAGCCCAAGATCTTCTTTGTGGTCCACTTCCCTTTCATGGCTGATCATATTTTGGCCCATATCAGCCATTGGTTGTTTAAAGGTGATAGGTTCAGATGAGACCTCTGTTAAGTTGCTGGCAACCGTTGATTTTCCTAACACAGGTTGTGATCCCGGAACAACTTTGACATCAGATGAAAACGAGATTGATGGCTTTAACTGCTTCTCTGGAATAGAAGAAATTCTTTTCGCTTGCAGTGTTGAAACCGAGAATGTTTGTTTGGTGGATACTGGAAATGGAAGCCTGGTTAATTTGACCACTGCATAGAGCTTCTCCTCAGTAGTTGGTGGGAACACTGAAGACACTAATGTCTGTACTTCCTTAACTGACATTTCTATGTTTGAGCTGATTGTACAAGTATCTATTGTTTTTAAATCAGCAGTAGTTTGACTAGAGGAGTTTGGGTCATCAGTCATATGACTTTTTTCAGACAAAGTTTTCTTTGCACCAACTAAACTTGGCTCCTGTGAAAAGGCTTTCAACTGAGTTGATGAAAGAGAAACAGAAGCTTTCAGGTCAGGGGTATCAACAGAGGCTTTCAGTTCAGGATTATCAACGGGGGCTTTCGGTTCATGAGTATCAACTGGGGCTTCCGGTTCAAGGGTTTCAACGGGGGCTTCCGGTTCAAGGGTTTCAACAGGGGCTTCCAGTTCAAGAGTTTCAACGGGGGCTTCCGGTTCAAGAGTTTCAACGGGGGCTTCCGGTTCTAGGGTTTCAATGGGGGCTTCCGGTTCTAGGGTTTCAACGGGGGCTTCAGGTTCAGGGGTATCAATGGGGACTTCCGGTTCAGGTGCATCAACGAGGGCTTCCAGTTCAGGGGCATCAACGGGGGCTTCCGGTTCAGGTGTTTCAATGAGGGTTTCCAGTTCAAGGGGGTCTTCCGATTCAGGGGTATCAACCTGGGCTTCTGGATTAGGGGCATCAACAAGGACTTCCGGTTCAGGGGCTTCAACGAGGGCTTCCAATTCAGGGGCATCAACGGGGGCTTCCGATTCAGGGGTTTCAACGGGGGCTTCCGATTCAGGGGTTTCAACGGGGGCTTCCGGTTCAAGGGTTTCAACGGGGGCTTCCGGTTCAAGGGTATCAAGAGGGGCTTCCGGTTCAGGGATATCAAGAGGGGCTTCCGGTTCAGGGATATCAAGAGGGTCTTCCGGTTCAGGGATATCA